TAATTTTTCCTGATGACGATTTTGACGTCATTTGGCTTATCTAAAATGATTACCATAACTTAGATATGCTGTCAGTTCAAAGCGTTTGTCTCAGTCTTTGTGGCAACTACCTTGGTCGTAACTTGTAAAATTGACAGTTCTAAACTCAATTTCACCCCTTTCGTACAATGGTACCTTGTAAAATTTAGAAAGTAAAATGAATTACTTAGTCTTCTCTGTCACTAGTGTCTGTGTTTAGATAATTGCATCTATTCCATTAATATTTTAGACAGAGCGTTCCATCCCCCTTGCTTCATTGCTTATCTTGGTTTGTTTATGTAATACATTCCTCAGCTCAAGCAAGTGGCTAGTTACTGAAAGTAAGAAGAAACCAAGTAAATTATGTGTTTTTGTTATCCTGAAGATAGCAAAATGGAGTCTGCTTTGTTCTGAGTGGCTGTGACAATATACACTTTTAATTTCTTTTTAGCACAAAGTGTCTGTTGATATAAATATTCTGACAGCATCCAGCGCCGGGCTCAGTTACCTCCCAGACACCTTCCTCTCGGTGCTGAAGTAGGTGAAGGGCTAGCCAGACAGCCTCATTGAGAAATAGCATGCACTATTTGAAAACATTCCCCGTATAAAGAGGAGGTAATATCTATGGCAGGTCACAGGTGAGTATAACAGCCATACAACACAGATTTAAGAAACCCGATCTTGCTTTTGTGCAGCGTATATGGTATATTTCGTATCCTATAAATGATACATTGGCAAAGAATAGTGTTCCAGCTTTGCAGTGCTGTACTATATTAATCTCAATGATGACTCCCAAGCCACGTTATGTGTACCTCTGATCCCACAACCAAGGAAAAACACATTTAAGGCGTTAGGGTAAATTTATGTTTATGTGTTATTATGAGTACCTGTAAATTCCTTAACAGGATTTGGTGAGTATCACCGTTAGCTTTATGTAATTAGCACATGGGCTAGTCTCAAGTAAAAATATGGCTTTGTAAGTGTTCCTTGAGTCCTGTGGATTTTTAGGGATCCCAGTAACCAAGTCTTCAGACCTGTTGGCTGTATGCACCGTGCAACGGAGCTCCTAGTGCTTCCAGAGGGCTCCAATCACTTCTCCAGACACCATAAGCACTGCAGACCGAACCTCTCTTCCTGCAGAGAGCGACGCTGGAACAGAGCTTAGTGATTATAGCCAAGGGAGTATACAGTGTATAGCAATCCCCAGTGTAAATGCAGCCTTTTCCCCCACACATGAGACATATTTACTATAACTTGAAAAATATACATCCAATAGCCATAATATTATTACACAGCACACTTCAAACATAAACATATCCAAAATTCAGACCATTCCCTCCAGGGGTTAAAAAGCTATCTGGAAGTCCTTTGTGACCGACCACAAGCATGCTTTCCTGCCCAAAACTGTTCCATAAATTTGGTCTCTGCGGTCAGTCTATTTTAGGCAGAAAAATGACTAAATCCCATTCGAATGCACGAACAGGGCACCGTTCGTGCAAATAGCTAAGTCTCACTATACGTTCGAATTGCAGAACAGGACTTAGTTTCCAGCCGAAGAGTCTAAGTGTAGGAGAAGGTAAGGGTTACCGGTGTTCGTGCAATTGTGTAGCCGATTGTGTGACCGCGTTCGACTGAATAAAGATGGCCGCCACCACATGTTCGATAGTATGAACGGCGGCCACCCAGCGGTCAGCAATTAACCTACAGCAGCCTTCCAGCCTGGGAGGTAAATTGGCCGCACGCTTCCACTTCTGTGTGGTCCACCTGTGTAGTACTTGGTTCAGTAAGCCCCATTTACTGAATCAAGTGGGAGAAAGCCAATACTGTTTTTAAAGGGCACAATCTCCCAGGGGTCATAGTCCCAAGGCAAGAGGCTGGCAAGTAGGCCTCTCCAGGACCAAGTGGCGAAGGGCACTTTGTCACACACCATTTTTCTATCCCTGGGTTAAATCAAGAGAGCTAGGCCTGAAACCTGCAAGTGCCTGTGTAAAGGCAATAGAAATCACATTGCAGGCAGAGGTGGATACCTGTCTAGAAAAAGGGCTGCAGCGGAATAGGCAGAGATGACAATTTCTGCCTGGAAGAAGGGTCTGTAACGGCACTCCCAGACATGAAAGGGGTTAACAGCCATTTAGGAGATCTTCCCCTTCCAGAGACATAGGCACAGCTACCCCAGAACCCCAAACTCCCAAACAGGATACAAACTAGCACTTCAAACTCCCGAACTGGAACCTCACGAATAGCTACTAGCAGCTGAACATGAAAAGCGCTCAAGTGGCTTACACTCCTGGCAATCAGTCTCTATCAGCATACAGTAAATCCCCCCAAGAACGAGACAAGGCCCCGTTTTGAGGGTCAAGCAGGAACAGACAGAGCTGTGGGTTTATTGTTCTTATATACACATTCTTAAACATTAGTACCACCCACAGGGTTTTGTAAAACAACCAATAAACACTTAATACACAGTAAAACACTCCCATAATTACATCACAATCCCTCCTCTCTATCCTGGAGATAATTGGGAAGTAATCCAATTATCTCCAAGGACAGAGGCAAAACTCCATTAAGCACATGGCAGTAAAAAGACAGTAAAATACAATAAAATACACAAGTTACATTTATTACATAAAATACAGACATGCAACATTTCCCCAGATAGCTTAGGTCTGAGCGCACATTATTACCGAATGGTGATCAGACCACACACATTCAGTTCAATTGCCATGGAGCCAAAGTCTTATTACATGAATAGGCTCCATGGGTTAAATGAGTTAATTCAGTAAATCCATGAATGAACCGGCCGCGTGTGAACTGCAGACTGCTGCCATCCAGTGTTCAGTATCTTTAGCCATGGCCACCTGGTATAGTCAATTAATCGGCGGTTAACCACAGCTACTGGGTGGTCAATTGGCGGTGCCTGCCAGCTAACCGCAGCTCCTGGGAGGCCAATATATGGCTGTTTGTTCGGTATATAGAATCTACCGAACGCCTGGGAAGAAATACCTTTCTGCATAGGAAATAAAGTATTTAAATACCGGTCCATAGTCAAAATGTAGCAGGCAGACAACCAGGCTCCTCCAATGCACAGTGGCAAGATTGGTCTCGTCACAGGGTTGCAGTGGAATATGCAGATGGGACGATACCTGATTGTGAGAAGAGTCTTGTCGGGTGAAAGAGGTCCAGAGAAACCCTAGTCAAGCTTCTACATCTAGAGCTGAAGCATTCCAGGCCCCCTCCCAAACGTCTAGGAAGCGGATTGGGCAGAGATACTTGGTCAGAGTACAGGAGCTATGCCACAATTAGGGTGCCAGTAGGCCTCTGGGCTCACTTTTACCTCAATGGCTTAAACCATTTTCAAAAGTTTCCTCCAGTGCTGATCTTAGCTCCACCCCCCAGTTGGCTTCTGGCTTATGAAATTTCAGTTTCATTAAGGGGCGCTGCTACTGCTCTCAGCCAATCTATAACCCTTTATTCACAAAACTGACTTGGAAAAGGTCAATTCTTTCTAAGACAGATTTGTGAATGGGAAGTCACTAATTGCATGAGAGAGTAGGGACACCTCAGCCCAGCGGCCCTCTATGGTCCACCTAAGATTAAGTTGTTTTGATGCCCAGAGTGCTCCATTAAAGCAGTTTGTTTCAAAGTCACGAATAAAAAAACTTGGTAGTCATTACTAGTTGTGGGCTTCTCCAATGGCAGCAGATGGAAAGCAATGGTCAACCTAGACCTAAACTGCCTTAGATGAACGTCTACATAACTTACAAGAGTGGCAGCAGTCTCAGACAGGAAGTCATAATGAGTAAAGTCTTAACAGCTATCCACAGAAAGCAGCAATTGACAGATACCATCACATCTGCCTACACCTTCTTGTTTCGACTCTGGGCATCTTTACAAAATATGTTTGCACCTTAAAGACAATGAGACACTACTAAAGCTTTATTTTAACTAAAATAAAAAATGCTGTTTATGATCTGAGAGTCTTGGGTGGTGACTACTTCTCTCCAACATGACACAGTTCCTGTAACTAACATCACATTCAGCCCTCCATCTCTTTATGGTTAAGATCAGAGGGGCAATTGCCTCCTTAACAGCCCTGCCATAGCATCAAGTCTGAGTTGTGTAACGGACCGTTTCTCTCACAAGAGGATAAAAACCGTTTAGGCGATAATCCCCTTTCCCATAGACCAGCAGCTACTGCAAGCACCAAACTCCCGAACTGCAAACTGTACAAATTCACCAACTCCCGAACTGGAAACACACGAACACTGGAATCAGCCGAACAGGAAAAGCATACAATCCGCTTACACTCCTGGCAGTCAGCATACAATCCAATTCCCCCCAAAAACGAGACGACACATCGGTTTGAGGGTCAAGCAGAATCTCAGGTGCTGGCACACCCAGCTTGGTTTTTATTACAGTTGTTGCAAATACAGGTCCGCCCACAGGGAGGTATAAAACAACCAATCACATCACAGTTACATCCCACATATTCCCTCCCCTTATCCTGAGAGGAAACTCAATTACACATACAGTTAAAACATACTTTCTACCCAACTTTCATAACTCTAAAACCATACATCACATTCACATAAAATTACATATGCACAATCAATCCATTCAGGGGAACAACATATTCAAAAATGGCATGAATCAGACCAGGGGTTCAAAAGTTAGTAAAGTATCTTTTAAAACCCCCTGCCAGCATGGCTGTCTGGTTCAAGCAGGTTTTACAGGGCCTCTATCCTGGGGACAATGGAGAAAGTAATCCAATTATCCAGGGATAGAGGCAGACTCCATTGAGCACATGGTTGCAAAAAGACATAAAACACTTTAAAATACATAAAGTCACCTTTTACACATAACACACAGACATTTCACATATCCCCAGATAGCTGGGATCTGAGTGCACATTATAAGATGAATGGCACTCAGATCACACAAATAAGCCTTTCTGCAGGGGAAATAAACGGTCTAACCTGCAGGGCCATAGTCCAAAGGGAGCAGGCGAGCAACCAGGCTTCTCCAGTTCACAGTGGCGAGGTTGGTTTCGCCACAAGTTGCAACTGAAGATTACATGTTAGTGGTGCCAGCTGATCAAGAACCGGATCCAGTAGTACCAATATGAGTTTGTCCAATCTCTCATGTATCAAACACGCACTCCAGTATAAGGAAGAACAAAAAGCTGCAACACGCATGAAGAACTTCAGAATGCGTTATTTCCTGGCTGAATCTAGTGTGTGTCTAAGAAGTGTCAAGCTATCAGAATTTTGTCTGAGTAAATGCTAGTCAATTACCCTTTTCCAATATCATCAGAATAAGAGCTGTAGGGTTGAGTGAAAAATAACATGTATTCCCAAAGCCAGTAAAAAGAGTCATCTCTGTTCTTGTACCCTTTCCAGAAAATTGCTTTGAGACAGTTAGCATTCTTGTTTCTAAATGGCTTTAGGCACCTCTACAAAGTCTGTTTGTACCTCAGACACAATGAGACACTACTAAAGTGCAGTGACCTCTTAGGGGATTTTTCTTTTTAAGGGCAGTATTAGCCATAGGATTATGGGATGGATGAGCGGTAGTGACCTGTGAGTCGGTGCACGGGGGCTGTGCAGGATGATGCTCCAAGTTGCAGTGCAGATACGGACATAAACAGGAGAATCGTCAGTGGGAGCCAGAAATCAGAATAAACCAGTAGAGAGCCGAGGTCAGAGGATGCCAGAAGTCAGGGTACACAAAATAACAAGACAAGGTCAGGAATCAACAGGAGAACACTGGAACATGAAACAGCAATGCATGAACCAGAATCAATGAACTGACACTGCCCTCGGGGAGAGGCAGTGTCTTATCCCTGCTATACACTGTATACTCCCTTGGCTATAATCACTAAGCTCTGTTCCAGCGTCGCTCTCTGCAGGAAGAGAGGTTTGGTCAGCAGTTCTGGTGGTGTCAAGTGGAGTGCTTGAAGTTCTCGGGAAGATTCTGGAAGGGATCCACCATCTCAATAGCACTTTTAATGAAGTCAGTGTACACCGGGTATAGCGTAACGTCACCGATGGTGATACAAGAGAGTACTTTGATTAGTGAGACAGGTGCTGGTAAGGCAATGACTTTATTAGTCACCTTGTCCCTGTGAAAAACACTCTTGTTTTTAAGACACGTGCTAACCAACCATTTATCTTTTACTAAGATAGCATGTACCAGTGCATTACTAACGGTTTTCGACATAGTTACTTGACATGTTTCAGAGCCATGTTTAATGTACTTGATCCCACACAAAGGATTGATGCATTTGACTGTTTGTAATTTTATTGAGTTTTCACAGCAATGTTAATGTAATGACCATATGGGCTTGTCCCAAGTAAAATAAAGTTTTAGACAGTTCTACTTCACCCTCAATTTGGAGTCCTGTCTCTTATTGGGGCAATCTGCCACAAGGATTACTATGCTCTGCATATTCCCTTGCTTTAATCACTCCTAAGCTCTTGTAAGAGCTTATTCCTGCTGTTACGGGCAAATGCAAATATTACAAGTTTTAGAATGAAATGTTGTATTTCTTAAACTGTGTACTTTGTCTTTAAGAGATATTGCAAACTGACAAGGTGTTAGAAATGGAACATATTGTTTTTCATAACGGTTTCTTTAAGCAATAACCTCAGTGCATGATATGTTTGCGCCATTTTGTCCCAGACGAATTACAATAACAATAATGCATAAACAAGCTTCAAGGCTATGCTACGACTCTTGCAGTACACAATATACTGTAGTAACCCCAAGTTAATGGAACTTCCCCAAATCCGGGAATCTCCCATGACTGTACACTTACGACTTAGTATAAACAACAGATAACCTATTCAGACTTTAAGATGCCATCTTGAACTAAGTCAGGAAAATTTCCATGACGTATACACCCTTTAGTTATGGCCTTGTATGTTTGCCAAGTTAAGGGAGGTCCTAAATTGAATAAAGTAAAAGAAGTGTTACTTTTTCATATTTGAACTACAGTAACCTAAAATGGAGACACCTAAGGTATAAATAGGTGTACTTTTAAATGTTAAGACACAGAGGAGAGACTTGGAGACAGACGCTGCTCCATCTTAAAATGACAGAGAGGCTGACATGATGACATGTTCAGAAGGGTATGTTAACCTATTAATGATATTTGCAAGCATGTAATTTAATCTTATAAACTCTGCTATAATGGATTTTATATTTATATTTTTATATAATAAATATCCAAAAGACAATCTTGCTTCCAAGACAATCCTTATTTTATATTGTATTCTCAATTATTTATATATGTTAAATAGAGGATCTCTAACACTATATAAAATTATGGCTAAGATATCTGTATGGTTAGCCCTACTAAGTTCTATGCTTTAAGACATTATAGTGGTAAATAAGGGAACCACACACGGTTACAATTGGCGACCACGAAGGGACTTTGTACTTGGAAGCTTTAAAAATAAAATAAATACCTAGGTAACCTCTTATACGTAAGAGAAGACACAATACTTTGTCATGGCACAAGTCTTGAAATATCAAGAATCCATTGAGCTATTTGTAGCCCAGACTCAGAGAGAGATCTTCCTCATTAGAGATGATTTTCATGTGAACAAGGCACTGTGAGTTCAGGTGCCATGTACATGGTAATTAGCATACAATGCTGAAATTGTGGATCTTAATTAATATCATAATAGAACAAATATAAATATTTGATAAACTCCATGATATGCCTAATACACCAGCACAGCATGGCCCATTAGTTCCAGGACAGTGGATTGCAGACAGGGGGATATGTTCTCTTTGTAGCTGCTTAGTATGCATGCGCAGGAAAAAGATTAATGCAAAATGTTGTCAAAAGAAAAGTGATAAGACAGAGCGATGAAATTTGAAGTCTAATTCCAAGAGTGCAAACTAAATTGCATTATGGCTTAATGAAAACATTCATGCAACAGACAGACAGGATTTTTAATTATTGCATTACTGCGTTCTGGATTCTAATGTCCACTATATAAGAAAAGTTTTATAAAACAGTGATATTTTCCATATTGTCAGTTACGCTAGCTGTTGATTAAAAATCAGGAATTATAACAGCATAACTATTTTTGGAGTCTGGAATTTCCAGCCAAGGTTGCGGAGATACAGAGACATGTAAACATTCCAAGGAATTGAGAAGTCGTTGTTTTAAATTCTAAAATATGAACAACATTATTACATACAGCCATAAAGAAAAATACATGGCTTTTAAATGCATTCAATGCAGTACACTGCAGCATGTATTTTATGTACTATATGCCAACTAGCTCATATTTTTTCCTAAACAGAGTTGAAATTATACTACCCTCCTAGAAAAAAGGGCAACAGGTGGTTATACATCCTTTGCTTCTCTAAATTCTCTGCATAAATAAATATTGATAAAATGATTACAAATAATACAGGGAGTGCAGAATTATTAGGCAAATGAGTATTTTGAAACAAAACAGAGGAAGAGTCTGCGCTAGTTCAATTGAGCAGCAACCCAAAAAGGGAGATCCCTCACGGAACCCTTATGTAGGAAATGCGAAAAAAGAGGGGGTCAAGGGCAAAATGAGTATTTTGACCACATCATCCTCTTTATGCATGTTGTCTTACTCCAAGCTGTATAGGCTCGAAAGCCTACTACCAATTAAGCATATTAGGTGATGTGCATCTCTGTAATGAGAAGGGGTGTGGTCTAATGACATCAGCACCCTATATCAGGTGTGCATAATTATTAGGCAACTTCCTTTCCTTTGGCAAAATGGGTCAAAAGAAGGACTTGACAGGCTCAGAAAAGTCAAAAATGGTGAGATATCTTGCAGAGGGATGCAGCACTCTTAAAATTGCAAAGCTTCTGAAGCGTGATCATCGAACAATCAGCGTTTCATTCAAAATAGTCAACAGGGTCGCAAGAAGCGTGTGGAAAAACCAAGGCGCAAAATAACTGCCCATGAACTGAGAAAAGTCAAGCGTGCAGCTGCCGCGATGCCACTTGCCACCAGTTTGGCCATATTTCAGAGCTGCAACATCACTGGAGTGCCCAAAAGCACAAGGTGTGCAATACTCAAAGACATGGCCAAGGTAAGAAAGGCTGAAAGACGACCACCACTGAACAAGACACACAAGCTGAAACGTCAAGACTGGGCCAAGAAATATCTCAAGACTGATTTTTCTAAGGTTTATGGACTGATGAAATGAGAGTGAGTCTTGATGGGCCAGATGGATGGGCCCGTGGCTGGATTGGTAAAGGGCAGAGAGCTCCAGTCCGACTCAGACGCCAGCAAGGTGGAGGTGGAGTACTGGTTTAGGCTGGTATCATCAAAGATGAGCTTGTGGGGCCTTTTCGGGTTGAGGATGGAGTCAAGCTCAACTCCCAGTCCTACTGCCAGTTCCTGGAAGACACCTTCTTCAAGCAGTGGTACAGGAAAAAGTCTGCATCCTTCAAGAAAAACATGATTTTCATGCAGGACAATGCTCCATCACACGCGTCCAAGTACTCCACAGCGTGGCTGGCAAGAAAGGGTATAAAAGAAGAAAAATCTAATGACATGGCCTCCTTGTTCACCTGATCTGAACCCCATTGAGAACCTGTGGTCCATCATCAAATGTGAGATTTACAAGGAGGAAAACAGTACACCTCTCTGAACAGTGTCTGGGAGGCTGTGGTTGCTGCTGCACGCAATGTTGATGGTGAACAGATCAAAACACTGACAGAATCCATGGATGGCAGGCTTTTTAGTGTCCTTGCAAAGAAAGGTGGCTATATTGGTCACTGATTTGTTTTTGAATGTCAAATGTATATTTGTGAATGTTGAGATGTTATATTGGTTTCACTGGTAATAATAAAGAATTGAAATGGGTATATATTTGTTTTTTGTTAAGTTGCCTAATAATTATGCACAGTAATAGTCACCTGCACACACAGATATCCCCCTAACATAGCTATAACTAAAAACAAACTAAAAACTACTTCCAAAAATATCCAGCTTTGATATTAATGAGTTTTTTGGGTTCATTGAGAACATGGTTGTTGTTCAATAATAAAATTAATCCTCAAAAATACAACTTGCCTAATAATTCTGCACTCCCTGTATATACGTAAGATAAAGCGGGGCAAAATAAAATTGTAACTATACAGGATCTCTGATAACTTTTAAACTGAAATTATTAAAGGCTTATTTAAATAAAATGTTAAATACATTTACAGCTTTAAATGTGACCAAAAGATACTAAATGATGTGTTAAGCAGCCAGCCCAATTTACTAGAATAGCATAAGTATTCTACTATTTAAAGTGCACAATTCCTGCACATAATGACTTTGCTTACTCAGGTACAGTCTTTAGTCTATTGCAATGGCAGGATTAAAGTCCACCAATTTTAAAAGGGAAAGCTTACTTAAATCATTGGTACTATCCCACCGTACTAGCAGTAAGGAAATTAGAACAATTATATTGTACTACTGACTGTAATCAGATCAGACACATGTAATCTCAGTGAATTTCCTAAACTAGGTTTTCATAAGATAAGATTAAATATCAAAGTTGTTTATATATCAATATATCAATGTTGTTTATAAATAAAAGTATGTAGACTAGGCAATAACAGCATTTACATGCATTCAGCAGCCTGCTCTCTCAGAGCCAGAAACGGATTTAAATAAATAAATAAATATAAAGAGTAGGTTTTAAAAAGTCCACAGTCAACCACACATGAAGGGTGAAATAATTGCTTCTTTAAAAGCTATATGCTGCTGCAATTATGTATATAAATACTGATTAGGGCACAGAGTAGAAATAAAAATACAGTTTTAAATCTCATATATGGGGATTCAGTTCCACCACATATTCTACAATTCTGAAAGAGGCTAATTTTAATAATATGTGTAAGAGCATTGTGAATATATATAATGCAAAATTAATTTGATATTGCAAAGCCTGCAATATTCTAAACAGACATTAAAATTTAAGAAGAAAAGAAAAATAAGAATGCATAAAGAATAATGCATAAAAAAATGTAGTGTCAATTAAAGTGATAATACTCTGATATATTAAATCACATTGCATATCACATATCTGCTATATGAAAAGTATAATTAAAGTGACATTACTGTCCAAAGCCCCCTCACATCTATTTTATAGAATCTATACTTTTCAGTGGTCACCTCCAAAGAAGCCTCTGAAATTGGGGGGCTCAGAGGGGTGCTCATCCCAAAAGGAATCAGATTCCAGACTTACATTTTTTTTTTTTTTAAATAAATAAATGATAGAAAAAGAATCACGGGAATACCCAGAACATGCATTTTTATATATAATCTTAATTTGCAGATATTTTATGCCTTAAAGGCATATAAAGGATATTTTATTAAATATGCAGGTATCTTTAAAAATTAAGCAATGTTAAAAATAAAATAAAATAAATAATAATAATAAAAAATATATTTTATACCACAATATAAACAGCTTTGTTAAACAGATTTAAGTACAAGTACTTATGTTAAGAAATATACAGAATACGTTTACAACAGGCAGGTTTAGCATAAATGCAAAGTTGTTGTTTTTGGGGATTTATTATTGCCCAAGAAATCTCCGAACATATTCAGAATTTTTGAGAGCAGCAAGTAAGACAGCAGATTGCAATGGACACCATTACAATATTGCTTTGCCGATTGAGGTCAGAGATTTAAAGAATAAATAAATAAATGTTCTATAGCTCGCTAGACCACTGGCTTTTAATGAACAGTTTGCACGACACTTATAAAATAGTTTGTTATACTGCACATTATAGCTGTGACAACATAATACACAGGGTAACAATGCTATGTCACTGTTTAATAGACTTACCCAGTATTTAAGGACGACATGTTTCTTGCAAAGTAATCGGGACTTTGAGGGAGGTCCTAACTACGTTTAATTAATTAATTTACTAAAGAAAAAGAAAAAAAAGTTTATTTTTCCCCTGCAAGTGAGTTTTCAGCGCAAGGTCATTTTGTGTTCACAGACTATTCGGTTTTAAAAAGCTGTTCTTTATCTCACATTATGAACGGCCTTGTAATTCCTATGCACACTAAAAGTTGGCTTTTAAATGTTATTGTTTTAACTTTAATATTTCATAGTTAATACAGAGAATAAAGTAATTTAAATAAAGTATATTGAAAGTATATTAATTGATAGGATTTCATTTATCTATTTTGGTCCACTGTTCACTGATCTCGAATCTCAGTCTGGTATTCAAACAGTTTTTCTTACAATACGTCGTGAGTTTATATCCACAACTGCATTTTGCTTTGTGGTAACAAATTGAAAGCCTGGCATTGTAATACGTGTATGGACATGCTTATAACAAAGCATGGTCCCTCTCCTCATGTCGTTAACAGGCACTTTGATGCAATGTGTCTACCAACGCTTTTCTGTGGTCACTGGATCACATTGCATACCCTATCTCTCAGTCATGATGCAGAGTTTATGCTTGCAAGGATATCCAGACCTTATCCACCTGGTATCCGCATAAATACTCCTATCGTTTAGAAGGGTTAATTACATAATAACCATTGAAGGTAATACGTTGGTTGTTCTTCCTATAGAGGAAAGATGGACTTGCCCTAAAAGCTTTTTCATGGCTAGGACAAGCTCTTATAGAGAGAGGTAATGTACTTCTGACTCCTGAAAAGGAATATTGTTGGTCACAATATGGGAAATACTGTAATTCATGTGCAAAATATAAAATGGTGGTGAGAGCACTCAAATCATGCAAATACAATATTTTACCAGAACTTTGTTTGTTGGAATATCTAAAAAAACATAAAACACAGAAACATAGTATAATACTGTTTGAAATATGTGCAAAATGTTGTATGTGACTGGTTAAACTCACATATTTCTGAGTCACTTTAAAAGCTGACTCAGACTTAGGGCTTGTATGGAGATGAGAAATCTCTATTCTGGACGTCCTGTATCACCCCTTATGGATCCGCGCTGATAGTATCCTCTAAAATTACTCCAGGATGCAGAAATCGAATCCAAATTGATTTATTATTAAAATACTTCACAAAATTAAAAATTAATAGTAAATACAGGTAAAATGTCCTTTGTGTATACCACGACGCGTTTCGGCACTCACAGCCTTTCTCAAGTGGTCTGTTTCTCATCTCTCTATTTGCTCCTTTATACCTTCAAATTTCAGCGCCCTTTCTCCGGCGTCCTGTGTGCCTTCCGTTTTCGTCATCACTCTGCGACTTCCGGTTACGTTACGTGATGACGTTTTTGTTTACATCATCTTTCCTTAGCCAAACGGCTACGTCATGACGTCTTCCTGGCGCCGAACCCGGAAGCACTAACCGCGCCATTTTAGAAAGTCTTTCGACATGAAAAATTTGCCAGTCTTTTATCCATTTCCAAATACTTAATATATACATCTGTATACGAGGAAAACCCACATTAACAGACAATTTATCAACAAAATGCATAAAATAGTCATAAGAAGAGGTGTTATTGTCCTAAAAAAGGGGAAAAAATATATATCATTGAAAAAGAAGAACGGGGGGAAAAACATTTTTAACGTGTAGATTAAATTAAAATAATATAATATATAAAATAGTTTTAAAAAAGTCATTTAAAACACTTAATACTATATACATGAATTAATCTCAAAATCTATGTTTAAACCATAGGGGGACAGTGATTCCATATCAAAAATCCACTTCATCTCTTTTTTACTAAGGAGGCGTTCTATATCTCCTCCTCTCCAGTGGGTTTTTACAGCCTCTATTCCTATAAATTCAAATCCACTGATATTCCCTCCATGTACTTCCAAAAAATGTTTAGAAACATTGTGTAGGGTAAACTTTCTATTTATATTATAAATATGCTCCCTTATCCTTATCTTCAATGTTCTTGATGTCTTCCCAATATACTGTAAGCCACAGGGACAGACTATCATATAAATTATATTTTTTGAGTTGCATGTTATAAAGGATTTTATTTCATGTGTTTTTTTGTTCTTAAAAGAGATAAAATTGGTAACTTTTTTATGTTTATTCTTTCTTAAAATACAGCCTCTACATGTTCCACAGTAATAAAAACCTTTTTCTTTCTTGAACATAGATGTAGTTTGGGGTTTTTTTTCTTTGTCTAAAAAACTCGAGGTTAAAACTTGCTTGATATTCTTCGCTCCTCTAAAAACCACTTTAGGTTGTACTCCCAAATATTGATGTATCTCCTGATCTTGTTCTAAGATGTGCCAATTTTTCTTCATAATTTTTTGCAACTGATTACCGTGAGAACTGTAATTAAAAATGATCGGTACAGTTTTATCATTTTCTTTTTGTTCTTTTGTTCTATATTTTAAGGTATTAGTTCTTAATTCCTGTCCTACTTCATTTTTTATATTGGTTAGAGAATCATAGTTATACCCTTTTTCTACTAATTGACCAATTAACACTTTTGTCTGTTCCTCATATAGTTCAGGCTCTGTACAGTTACGCTTTATTCTTAAAAACTGTCCCTTTGGTACATTAGTTAGCCAGGGTCTAAAATGACAACTTTTTAAATTAATAAAACTATTAACGTCTACAGTTTTAAAAAAGGTTTTACTTTTTATCATATTATCTTCTATATAAATAGTCAGATCTAAAAAATTAATAGTCTGTGTGCTAATTTCCCAGGTCAGATTAATATTCCAATTGTTTTTATTTAAATTATTTAAAAAACATTTCAGAGATTCTTGCGTACCTCTCCATATTAAAAAAATATAATCTATGTATCTCTTGTAGAGGACCAGATTTGTCCCGAGCTCTGGCCTTGAGAAAATCTCAGATTCCTCCCAATGGGCCATAAATAAATTTGCATAGCTCGGGGCAAATCTGGTCCCCATAGCTGTCCCCTTGGTCTGCAGATAAAAATTATTCTCAAACCAAAAAAAATTATTAAAAAGGATCAATTGGATACCCTCTATAATAAAATCTGTTTGTTCGGGGTTCAAATCTGTATCATTTTCTAAAAAATGTCTAGCAGCCTCGCAGCCTCTTCTATGATCAATAATGGTATAGAGGCTGCTGACATCACAAGTGACCATAGTAAAACCTTCCTCCCAAGTAAAACTATTTAAAATTTGTAAAAGTGACATGGTATCTTTAAGATATGAAGGACATCTTTTAACAGGATCTTGTAAAAATTGATCTAAAAACTGTGATAAGGGTGATAATAAGGAACCAATCCCCGAAACGATTGGTCTTCCGGGGGGATTTTCTGCATTTTTATGTACCTTTGGTAAAACATAAAAAAACGGAATTCTAGGGAATTTTACATTAAGAAAATCATATTCTTTTTTATTTAATAACCCTAGTTCTAGTCCTTGATTAATAAATTCACCCAATTTTTTCTTTATGTCCTCTAAAGGATTTTTTTGCAATAAAAGATATGTCTCGTGGTCTTGTAATTGTTCAAAAATTACTTTAAGATATTGTTCTTTTTTCCATATCACAACCCCCCCTCCCTTATCGGCCGGTTTAATGACAATAGAAGAGTTTTTCTTCAAGTCCTGTAATGCTTTCCTTTCATTTTTAGTTAGATTATTTTGTTGTCCCTTAATAGGTTCAATTCTTCTCAATTCCCTAGTGCAAACCTTTTCAAAAACCTTCATAGCATCTGATTTTAAATAACTTGGAAAAAAGTTTGATTTATTTTTCAGAGTAGTATGTTTAAATTTATTTCCCTCTTCTATCCTCTCATTTCCCAAATCTTTAATAGGTTTTTGATCAAAGAATTTTTTTAAACATAATTTCCGTAAAAATCTATTTATATCTAAAAAGGTTTCAAATTTATCTATGTCACAACTAGGTGCAAACTTAAAACCATAATTTAAAACTTTTTTATGGGATTCTTCTAAAATTACATCTGATAAATTAAAAATTGTTATATCTGTTGTCATTTCCTTAAAAATGTCTCCTCCCTCCTCCTTTTTTCTTCTTTTCTGCTTTCTATTGCCTCTTCTTGTCGTCTCCTCTTTCCCGGGGTCTGTGTTTTTATACCCCCTTTCGGTCTGATCATGGTTTGCCCTAAAAAAAGGTCATCATCATTAATTTGTTGTAAATGGCTGTATCTATTTGAGACTTGTACTTCTTTTCTATCGTCTCTTTTTGGAAAATATGGTCTATAGGTTCTCTCGTAGTTATTGTTTTTGAAAGAATTGTTTCTTTCCCTCATTCTGGGTCTGACCTGAGTCCAACCTCCATCTTGTTCTCCTCTTTGTTTTGTTAAATTTGAGGAGGATCTATCCTCATAAGGTTTTCTATATAGTTGTTGTGATGGCCTATTTTCTTCCTTCAGTAAATTTCTTTTATAATTATCTTTCCTATTTCTGATGGAATTATTCTTTTTCTGTGGTTTTATTTGACCTTTTAAATAGTCCTCCTGATCTCTCTTAAGTTTCTTCTTTTTAGTCTCAATTACATTTCTTTCTATGTTTTTGATTTTTTCTATAGTTCTTTCCATTAGAAGTTTAAACTCCTCCATTTCCATAAATGGTCCAAGTTTTTTCTGTATATCATTAATTTCCTCATTAATTTGATGCAAGCTCAAAGTACGCTGTTCAATAATAACAATCATCATATGTTTGGCAAATGATTCCAAAGCTCCATCCCAAGCTTCTTTAAACATTTCGCTTTCATTTTCTGAAGTAGGGGATTTATGGAACCTCAGACCTCTTGGTGCTATTTTTAAATCAACGTACCTTTCTAATGTGAAAACTTCCCATTTATATTTCATTTCTTTTATGAGTAATCGTTCCAACTTTGAACAGATTTCTCTTAATTCATCATTTTGTTTATTAGGAAGTTTTTCATATTTGTCATCTTCTAATTGGCCAAATCTTTGATTCATATCTTCTTGCCAACTCTTACGTAAATTGAAAATTGACATAATGATAATAATATATACTTAATCCCAAAATGGAGTGTTGTACAATACAGTATATAAAAAATATGTTAAGGAACAAAGTATAATTATGGTGCTACTATCACCTAGTGTGAACCACTCCAACACACCAAATGTCAATAAAGTGCAAAATATAAAATGGTGGTGAGAGCACTCAAATCATGCAAATACAATATTTTACCAGAACTTTGTTTGTTGGAATATCTAAAAACACAAAAAACACATGAAATAAAATCCTTTATAACATGCAACTCAAAAAATATAATTTATATGATAGTCTGTCCCTGTGGCTTACAGTATATTGGGAAGACATCAAGAACATTGAAGATAAGGATAAGGGAGCATATTTATAATATAAATAGAAAGTTTACCCTACACAATGTTTCTAAACATTTTTTGGAAGTACATGGAGGGAATATCAGTGGATTTGAATTTATAGGAATAGAGGCTGTAAAAACCCACTGGAGAGGAGGAGATATAGAACGCCTCCTTAGTAAAAAAGAGATGAAGTGGATTTTTGATATGGAATCACTGTCCCCCTATGGTTTAAACATAGATTTTGAGATTAATTCATGTATATAGTATTAAGTGTTTTAAATGACTTTTTTAAAACTATTTTATATATTATATTATTTTAATTTAATCTACACGTTAAAAATGTTTTTCCCCCCGTTCTTCTTTTTCAATGATATATATTTTTTCCCCTTTTTTAGGACAATAACACCTCTTCTTATGACTTTTTTATGCATTTTGTTGATAAATTGTCTGTTAATGTGGGTTTTCCTCGTATACAGATGTATATATTAAGTATTTGGAAATGGATAAAAGACTGGCAAATTTTTCATGTCGAAAGACTTTCTAAAATGGCGCGGTTAGTGCTTCCGGGTTCGGCGCCAGGAAGACGTCATGACGTAGCCGTTTGGCTAAGGAAAGATGATGTAAACAAAAACGTCATCACGTAACGTAACCGGAAGTCGCAGAGTGATGACGAAAACGGAAGGCACACAGGACGCCGGAGAAAGGGCGCTGAAATTTGAAGGTATAAAGGAGCAAATAGAGAGATGAGAAACAGACCACTTGAGAAAGGCTGTGAGTGCCGAAACGCGTCGTGGTATACACAAAGGACATTTTACCTGTATTTACTATTAATTTTTAATTTTGTGAAGTATTTTAATAATAAATCAATTTGGATTCGATTTCTGCATCCTGGAGTAATTTTAGAGGATACTTTCAGCGCGGATCCACATGGTGTGATACAGGACGTCCAGAATAGAGATTTCTCATCTCCATACAAGCCCTAAGTCTGAGTCAGCTTTTAAAGTGACTCAGAAATATGTGAGTTTAACCAGTCACATACAACATTTTGCACATATTTTAAACAGTATTATACTATGTTTCTGTGTTTTATGTTTTTTTAGATATTCCAACAAACAAAATTCTGGTAAAATATTGTATTTGCATGATTTGAGTGCTCTCACCACCATTTTATATTTTGCACTTTATTGACATTTGGTGTGTTGGAGTGGTTCACACTAGGTGATAGTAGCACCATAATTATACTTTGTTCCTTAACATATTTTTTATATACTGTAATTCATGTGTTTAGTAATCATAAGCATTTGCTTATTGCCACATTACTGATGTACTGTTTATTGAAATATTAATATCCAACATACTTTTTGAATTACTATATATTGAAAGTTTGCCAACATCTCATGGTTATAAATATGTTTTTGTATGTGTTGATGCATGTACCAGGTTTACTTGGATATATCCTGTGCGAAGTGCAACCTCTGATGCCATGTTTTCTAGTCTCACTTCCTTAGTATGCATTTGATAATCCCAGGACCATCCATTTGGATGGTGGTCCTGCAGTTACTGCAAAGGAAACCTAAAACTGGGCAACCACATTTGGGTTACTTTGGGATTTCAGTGCCCCAACCACCCCCAAAGAAGTGGGGTTGTGGTCTGGGAGAATGCTGAGGTTAAATGATTATTAACCAAGTTACTAGTTGCTTGCCCCACACAGTGGTATCTATTTATTCCTATGGTACAGATAAGAATTCACAACATACCTGATGATACAAATGGTGAGACACCATATGAAATGTTACATGTTTTTCACTGACAAATATATTTCTGCACCAGGGAGAGCTTAGAACCATTGGTTCTATTAGAGAAATTTAGGGAATTTTTTTTTTCCAGTCCACCTCACCTTGCACCACCACCTATTTCCTTCTGTTGGCCAGTTTGTCCTGGAGAGGGTGACTCAGATAACTTTTACTACAGAGAACAATCAGAGCCAACAGAGAACAGTGAATTTGATATTTTACAACCTGCTAAATATTAACAGGACGTTCACAGAACCACTGACTGACACAATGGATGCTGTTAAAGATGACAAGATAAGATAAACAGAGGACGACAGAAATGCCACCAGAATCATAGCCACATAACAGACTGAATTGTGATCTGATATCTGAACCTGCAAATGTGAAGGAGAAGGATGAACAGACAGACGTGATACATTCACAGTTAACATGGAATGTATGAAAAATTAATCATCAACATCATTATAAGAAAGACTCTGGAGAAAACAGACTGAACCTGAATTATCTTATACAGTAAGAAAGAAATGCAAAGATGGAAGCAAAAGGATGCTAGAAAATTGGTTATGGTGTCTCCTTCTTACAGTCTGCAGCATTATCATAACATCAACCCTAGCTGTCGTTTTAAAACTGCATTGGGATTATGTTAACAAGCAGGAAGCACCTGAACTGAATTGGACTGCACACTATACAAGTTCTTTGATCGTGAGGACTACCTCCAAGAACTATCTCAAAAGGAGAGACATAGCGCACAGTGAAATGATTGCCTACACTGGTATTTCACAAGGAACCTATTGAGATCATTCCAAAAACCGATTATACGTGAGAAAGGTGTGATTGAACTATTTCAAATCCTAATAATGGACTCAACGATGATGGCAAAGCATGCTGAAAACAGAAAAAGACGAGATAGATGCTTGTGAAAGACTTTGGATGCACCTATGAAGGTGATTAAGAAAAGACTTTGCCATATAGTTTATCATTGAATGACTACAGCAAACAGCCTTCTTATGCTGAAAAGAAGTGCTATACTAATTCTGGACATTGCTATTATGCAAACAGACGATAACCGGAAAAAGAAATAAAGGCTGATAGCTGTTAAGATGGAACATGGTATTGAGAAAACCTGATTGAGTATCAAAGCACCTCACAGTACAAGACACAGATTGTTGCCTACAACTCAGAAAAAGTGGTTAATAGGAAGGAGAAGAAGAGGAATATAGATTTCCTACTGGAGAGAAAAACCATCCTGGAACAATATTCTGTAACAATGAACTTTACAATGACATTTGGTGGCATATGAATTTGAATTTGGTAGAGAAACATCAATTAACGAAAGAAACCTTGATGCAATTAATAAATAATAACAATACCGGCTTACTAAGAGCAGATGCCCTGCCAAGAGAATGGAATATAAAAAGACCAGCAAAATCTTTCAGAAACCTGACGGGACACTTGTACTAAAGCACGATTTGCAGCTTTTCTTAAACTCTACATATTATGTACATACCTGCAAAGCAAGGAACTCCTGTAAACATAAACACAGAGACATTGCTATAACAAGGAATCTGTAATGGTTCTGTTGCAGATGCGATCTACCAATGTACTCCTTGCTCTTTTGGTATAACTATACCAATCAAAATGTTAAATGGCTCCATAGAATCAAACGACAAAGGATTATTGCTATATTCTGGACTTCCAGGAATGTGGTGCATGGACCGAAAATTATAATTACTAAAGCAATCATCTATTTTTTTCCCTGTATCAGAAATGTGTCAGTGACAATGTGTAATATAATACAGATACTATAATTAATGGTATAAAATAAACACATAATGTGTTAATTACAAAGGTGGATAGACTTTGTGAATATCTGAAACGCAATTGAAGATTATTGCTAAAATGCCATATGCAGCTGCAGTCTGGCCTACAAACAAATATATTAGACATAATGTATAAGAGCATAACAGCTAATTACCCAGATGAATAATTGAATCATGATAGTTAAAGATCATATGATTGCAATAACAACTGCAATAATGAATAAGGTTTAAACTTTAGAAGAAAATATAAAATGTTTTTATTAAATCAGAAACTACTTGATATTCGTTTAAGTTTGCAGAGTGGTATAATTAATATAAGTGAAATACTTCAACAGTTAAAATTTAACTGACAGACAGGCAGAAACTTTACTTCAACTATCATAAAGTTTATTTATAATGATAAAAATATTCAGTCTGCCAGAGCTAAGGCCAGTCAATGGAAAGTAAGAGAGTATTATGGATTAACCCGTCCAGGTGATATACATGATTATTTTGGAAATTGATCATTTAGGTCACCTATTGCAAATTGGTGAAAAGATGTCAAAGATATAAATTCAACATCCATACCACTCTATGTATATATTTTAAAATACACGTAATCAAATATTTTATCAGTTTTTCAAATACAAAGAAAATGTTATTTGGTTTGTGATGGTTACTATACAAAGGTAGAGTTAAAATATAAATACATTCAATATTGTATCGGAGTGCTTTCTTAACTCACTTTTAGAAATAATAAATATTGAAATCATCTTAAGTTACACCAAACAGCCACTGGTAAATATACTTAAACAATTAAGATTCACATTGTTAAGCATCCAATCTCACGAATGTAACTTTCCACAATGGCTGTCAGATCTTGGTTTAAAAAAAAAAAAAAATGTTTTCTAAGACAATATTTGGGGGTTTCTGGTATTTTAAGCCACTAATAACTAGGGAATAAGTTGTCTTCTCCCTAACAGGACAAAGAAAGATGAATAATGTCATATTTCCAATTAGCAACTATTTTAAATATATTGAGAGATTTTGAATAAAGGAGTATTTTTAACATTTAAAGAGAATGTAATTTTACATACCATTGTGAACAAGGGCGGTAAATACTTTGCTGCTTCAAATTATCCTTTCTATATCTAAATCATATACAAGGGTGTTTATCTTTAATACAAAACACTAGAAAGATTAACTATGTTACTATTTCATCTATCATTATTATACAAACTATAACAAATGTAAAGATTTTTCCACAGATTTTACCTGTTAACATTTTTAGCACAACAGCACCTGATGTCAGTGAGATGTCTATCACTGAGATGTTACAAAGATTCCAATACCGCAAAGCTGGACTCTACAACCTATACTCTACAACAAATAGCCGGGTATTCTACAAACACAACCTCCAGCAATGTATCTAAGGAATGTAAACTTCTACAGGTCTTTAAAGACTTTGGATTACAAATACAATTACTACTTTTAACTTTGGATTAAATTTGTATCCGGATCCATCCAAGAATATCTTACTCTGGAACTTGGTGTTCTTTTCAATTCTTTCCCAGACAAAAGCTTTGCTCATTTTAATCAACCACCTTTACAGGCAAAGATCACACTACGGATATTTTACTGTTACAACAATGATCAAAGATGCTGGGAGCACAAAAACCTAAAGACAGTTGGAGAACTTTGGTTTACTAATTTAAGGAAGAAATACCCTACAACGCCCACAGTTTAATGGAGAGGGTGTTACGGGCAAATGCAAATATTACAAGTTTTAGAATGAAATGTTGTATTTCTTAAACTGTGTACTTTGTCTTTAAGAGATATTGCAAACTGACAAGGTGTTAGAAATGGAACATATTGTTTTTCATAACTGTTTCTTTAAGCAATAACCTCAGTGCATAATATGTTTGCGCCATTTTGTCCCAGACGAATTACAATAACAATAAAGCTTCAAGGCTATGCTACGACTCTTGCAGTACACAATATACTGTGGTAACCCCAAGTTAATGGAACTTCCCCAAATCCTGGAATCTCCCACGACTGTACACTTACGACTTAGTATAAACAACAGATAACCTATTCAGACTTTAAGATGCCATCTTGAACTAAGTCAGGAAAATTTCCATGACGTATACACCCTTTAGTTATGGCCTTGTATGTTTGCCAAATTAAGGGAGGTCCTAAATTGAATAAAGTAAAAGAAGTGTTACTTTTTCATATTTGAACTACAGTAACCTAAAATGGAGACACCTAAGGTATAAATAGGTGTACTTTTAAATGTTAAGACACAGAGGAGAGACTTGGAGACAGACGCTGCTCCATCTTAAAATGACAGAGAGGCTGACATGATGACATGTTCAGAAGGGTATGTTAACCTATTAATGATATTTGCAAGCATGTAATTTAATCTTATAAACTCTGTAATAATGGATTTTATATTTTTATATAATAAATATCCAAAAGACAATCTTGCTTCCAAGACAATCCTTATTTTATATTGTATTCTCAATTATTTATATATGTTAAATAGAGGATCTCTAACACTATATAAAATTATGGCTAAGATATCTGTATGGTTAGCCCTACTAAGTTCTATGCTTTAAGACATTATAGTGGTAAATAAGGGAACCACACACGGTTACACTGCTTCGCTTTGAATGAAGAGAGGTTTGGCCTGCGGTGGTTGTGGTGTCGGCTAGCGGGCTTGGGGTCTTCAAGAAGCGTTAGGAGCATCCTTCAACAGAGGTACCCAGTCGGGGTGCCAGGTGATCCGTTACAGTGGTGGCAGTGGTGGGATGGTGTCCTAGTGTGAGGAGAAGCAGCGCAGAGGCACCTGTAACATTTGGAATTACAATTTGAGGGCAACGCTAGTATTCGTACAGCGCCCCTTTTCACAGCAAACATGACCTATTGCTTTGAGGGTGCAGCTTACAGGGAGGAGGCAAAGAGGCGGTTAACCAGGTATGGCCCTGATCCTTCGGTAGAGACGATCCTGGCAACTATGCGCAAGTTGGATGAGGAGAATCGAGCGGCATGGGAATACGAGTGCCGATTGCGGAGATTGGGGATGTGGACAATTGATCTCTCTCCCCAGTGGCAGCCAGCAACCCAAGGAGAGGAGATTGTCGGTCCCTCGTCCCTGCAGCAACCATCATCACTGAGAGTCGAGACAGTTGGTCTAACTCCTCAGCGGCAGTGTGTTGTCAAGGGAGAAGAGACAACCGGTCTCTTTCCCCAGCGGCAGCCAGCATCCCAGGGAGAGGAGATTGTTGGTCCCTCATCCATGCAGCAACCATCATCACTGGGAGTCGAGACAGTCGGTCTGACTCCCCAGCGGCAGTGTGTTGACAAGGGAGAAGAGACAACCGGTCTCTCTCCCCAGCGGCAGCCAACATTTCAGGGAGAGGAGACCAGTCGGTCCCTCGTCCCTGCAGCAACCAACATCCCAGGGAGAGTCCCTCGTCCCTGCAGCAACCATCATCACTGGGAGTCAAGACAGTCGGTCTGACTTCCCAGTGGCAGTGTGTTGTCAAGGGAGAAGAGACAACCGGTCTCTCTCCCCAGCGGCAGACAGCATCCCAGGGAGAGGAGATTGTCAGTCCCTCGCCCCTGCAGCAACCATCATCACTGGGAATGGAAATGGTTGCTCCCGCAACCCAGCACCAGGCAGTGTTAACGGGTGTCGAGACAGTCGGTCTGACTCCCCAGAGGCAGTGTGTTGTACCAGAAGAAGAGACTACCAGTCTCTCTCCCCAGTGGCAGCGTACCCTACCAAGGGGAGACCCTACTCCCCCAGACTGTGCAGATGGGACTGTAGTCTCTGCACCTTACCTACAGGGATGTTGGACGGCCTATCCAGATCCCCAACTACCCTCACAAGAATACCGTGCGGAGGAGGTATGCGATGTCTCCCCTCCCCAACCAAGTTGCGTCCAGGCTACCCCAGCAGAAGCGCTGGCATCGGGGCAGAGCGCAGTTGGCCTCTGCCCCCCAAGTCCCCACAGCGTGTTGCCCAGTAGCAGCAGAGGTATCACCAGGTGCAGCAAATGTGTGTTGTGGGTGGGCTACTCATGTACTTGTTCACTGTGGGTGGGTTTAGCGACTAACTAAGGCACTCACCGACAGGTCAGGTACCTGGTAAGTCTCCCCCCCAAAGGGGAGATGTGTGACAAAATGCCTTTTGTCACTGGAATGTTAGGTGCCAAGCTGCCCTTTGCCCCCGGATGTTGGAGGAGCCTGATTGCCAGTCTCCTTCCTCATGACTTTGGTCCTGGGGTGTATTGCCATTTAAAAAGACTATTTGGGGCTTATTGGCTTCTAAACACTGATTCTGTCTATTTGAATCCATGGGAAGGTGTGTTTCTTCCCCTCCCCATTTCCTGTCTATTCTTCTCCAGCAGGGTGTTGTCCCAGGCACACTGCCAAACCAGTTGGAACTGACTGCTTTTGTCCCTCTTTGGTTTCTCAACAGCCCTTGCTATGCTTTACCCCATAGCAAATTTACTCTGTTCATGGGATCTGAGCGTTGTTCACCTAGATTGGGTGCTCAGATCCGAGCTATCTGGGGATAGGTTAAATGTGGGGTTCTGTGTAATAAAATAAGAATTATGTATTTTTATGTACGTTTACATATTTTTGCTGTTAGTGTAAAATGTAGATATTTTCTGTACCTGGAGATAATTGAGTTTACTGCAGTGCCTTAAGCCACTTTTTTATTGTGTATGTGGGAGTGTTATTAAGTTAGTGTTCCCATTGGTTTGTGTCCCTTTTGTCACAGTTTACCACCAGGTCCAGGCCTGAAAACTTGTATATAAGGAGTAATAAACACTCATTGGAGTCAGATCATCCTGTACCTTCATGAAGTTTCGGCTCATGTTTGGGGGATTGGAGAACTACACTCTGGGGATTGCTATAATCACTATACTCCCCAGGGTATAATCACTAAGCTCTGCTAAGAGCTTGTTCCTGTTCCTGCTCTCTGGAATTCGGAGAGAGGTCGACCTACTGGAAGCTGGACCCTGGTCTTGGGTCCAGAGTGGGTGGAGATGGCGAGACCCCAACCAAGCTGCAGCGGTTTGTGGGGTCTGCAGTGGTTATGGTGTTGGGCAGAGTGCTTGGAGTCCTCGGAAAGCACTAGGAGCATCCGTCAGCGGAAGGTACCCGGTCGGGGTGCCAGTGGTTCTGTTACACCACACTCCTCCTCTTCTGAGACTGCCCACTCTCTCTGGGCTAGAAAGCCATGCAATCTGTCAAGGAACCTCTCCTCCATTTCGACTCCTGTGCAAAGACTTGCTGGATCCATTCTGCTGTAGGTAGGGACGCTGCACAGAGGCTAGCGTTGCCCTCAATACTCTCTCATATGATACCAGTGTCATCTGGGTGCTGTTGCTCACACTAGGACACCATCCCACCACTGCCACCAAATGTTACAGTTTCCTCCAGGCTAGCTGAAAGTTGGACCATAGAAAGGATGCTCCTAGCGCTCACCATCAGCACCGTAGACACCACAAGCACTGCAGACTCCATGAACCACCACTGCTTGGCTGGGATGTCACCCTGGACCTATGACCAGGCTCCAGGTTCCAGTAGGTGAACCTCTTCCTTCTGTAGAGTGAAGCAGAATCAGGAACAAGAGCTCTTACAAGAGCTCAGTAGCAAAGGGAGTATGCTGAGCATAACAATCCCTGTAGTGATTATAGCTGTCTCCTACAAACACAAGTCGAGGCTGCGATTTAGAGGGTCAAGTAATTCTCTTTAATTGGCACCAAAGGGCTTTCTTTTATGGAGGTCTTACACATACATAACCACCAACAGGGTTTTGCAGAACAACCAATAACACACGTACATTACAGTAAAACACTCCCAGCAATTACACACAAAATCCTCCCCTCTGCCTGCGATATAATTATTGTACACAATGGGTTAACATAATTATCACAGGCAGCAAAAATACAGTTTAAAAATATACATTCAATCTTCAAAAAAATTACATATTTGAAGGCACACTTTAAACATAAACACTCTAAAAATCAAACAAATCCCTCCAGTAGATAAAAAGTTAGACGGAAGTCCTTTATGATCGACCACAAGCACATTTTCCTGCCCAAAACAGTTCCATATATTTGGGCTCTGCGGTCAGTCTATTTCAGGCAGAAAAATGACTAAGTTCCATTCGAATGCACGAACGGGGCCGTTCACGCAATTGGCTCAGTATAGCAGTGAGTTCAAACTGCCGAACGGGACTTAGTCTCTGTATCTGACAACTGAGTGTAGGAAAAGGTAAAGGTCAGCAGTGTTCGTTGAAATGTGTAGCCGATTTCAGTTCCATAGATTCGGCTACACACACCACTGACCATGTGTGAATGAACAAAAATGGCCGCCTCCATGTGTTCGTTTGCACGAACTGCGGCCACCCAGCAGTCGGCAATTTACCTACAGCAGACTCCCAGCCTGGGAGGTAAATTGATGGCACACTTCCACTTCTGGGTGGTCCGACGGTGTGGTACTTGGTTCAATAAGCCCCATTTACTGAACCAAGTGGGAAAAGGGCACAAACAAAGTACTTCAAAGGTCTGGGGACACAGTCTTAAAGGGGCACTGTTCACCAAAGTCACAATATGTCCCCAAACGGTTCTTTGAGGCAGACCGAACCTGGACAAGACATGGTTAATCAACAAAGTGGCACACACGGTACTCATATTCCCTTTACAAGGCAAACACTCGATCCACTTTGTGTACATACATATAACATGTATTTGTTACCTCTTGAAGATCTTGTTACAGTACCTATAAAGTCAATTTGAATATCAGACCAGGATAATGACACCCCCCACTTCTGGTGCATGATGGGTTGGACCATATTATTGCGGACAAATTTTCCATGTTTAACAGGTTTGTTATTGCTTTTCAGCATTTGGTTATGTTGGCAGTTAGGCAGATATTTGACGAAACTGTTGCGAACATAGTTGGAATCAGTTATGATGACAAATTCTTTGATACCATATTCTATTGCCATTTGAATGGTCTTATATAGAGCTGAACGGACACCTGCATGTTCGGGTCCGGCGGGTTCGGCCAAACTTTGAAAAAAAGTCCGAGTTCGGGATCGAACTTGACCCCGAATTTGACCCCAAACCCGAACCCCATTGAAGTCAATGGGGACCCGAACTTTTGGGCACAGAAATGCCTCTACAAAAGTCCTGGAAAGGAGTTCAATTTAAAATTCTGGTTCTTGCTTTCAAATCTCTACATAATGCTGCTATCTATCTATCCTCCCTTATACACAAGTATGTCCCGTCTAGGCCCTTACGATCTGCTGAAGACTTACGTCTATCTTCTGTCCGTACTCCCACCTCTGATGCTCGCCTTCAAGATTTCTCGAGGGCTGCACCGTTCCTGTGGAACTCGCTTCCCTCTTCCGTTAGATGCTCACCCAGTCTCCACACCCTCAACCCCTCTGTTCCTGTGTGTCCAACTTGTCTGGTTACAACTACATGTTTGTTCGTCCACCCATTGTAAAGAGCTGTGGAATTTGGCGGCGCTCTATAAATATCATAATAATAATAATCATAACAACTGCCAAACCAGATAGCGTTGATGGACTGTAAACTTAAACGAGAGAAAAAAACAGAATCGAACAGGTTGGTTAGCCAATGAAGTGTGCTCTGAACAAACATGTAGGTACCCAATTTAGCAACCAAAATTACCCTAATCTGTAGAGATCCCAACCCTACTTAGAAAAAAATAGACATAAAAACAAGTGACAGGTAGCAGATACAACAAGCAGAGTTGCATGCGTACATGATGTACCCAAACTATTAAAATTAAACAAGGGAGGGATAAGAATGGGTGGGATATACTCACCTCTAGTCATTAATACAATTCCCAGATTTTACTATTAACATGATGTAAAGTCATGATTTTATTAAAGACACGGAGGCGAGTATTATGCATATCTCTTTCTTTATTACTCTCAGCAGCAAAGAAATAGAGATAAATAAATAACTGAAAGAACAAAAAAATACAGTGTTCAAGTAACCAATCACATAACAGAGGAAGTGACTATAAAATACTTGAAGCACCCACAATCCCCCTCTTTCTTGCGGATAACGAAGACCAATACAGAACATCCAACTTCGACTAACGTAGCCAACCGCAGCTCCAATATGGCAAATCACGAAGAATTCAGGCTAAAGGAGACACAGAAAAAAGAAGGTAATAACTGGACTCCAACTGTATGTGCATAACTATAATAAATAACACAGTACGTCAAACCCAAACTCTACACACCCAAACACGGTAATACAGCTATAGGGAGCATAAACGTAACCCCAATACATAGAAACGTCAGATATAACACATACAATCAAAAACTTCTAATAACGAATAAATCATACTTACCCACCATAGCAGCCAATGCCCAACCCCAACCGGGTGGGTGGGTGGGAATAATACTCACCTCCGTGTCTTTAATAAAATCATGACTTTACGTCATGTTAATAGTAAAATCTGGGAATTTTATTAAAGACACGGAGGCTCCTATTATGCAAGTTTAAAGCTTAGAAACCACTTGAGATGCAAAATGGTCAATCGGCCTGAAGTAGAAATCACGAAAGGTCGATTCCCGTGACCAATCCGCCGCACGTAGAATATCTTCTAGGCGGCAGCCCATAGCCGCCGCCTTGGAGGCCATAGCTCCACGGACTGAATGAGGGGTGAATCTGGACGTATCGATCCCGGCCAGAGATAACAGTTCCCGAACCCATCTCGCCAACGTAGGTGTAGACACCGGAAGGTGTGGGGCTCGAAGCGAGATGAACAAGGGGTATAGTTCCGGGGATCGCAACGGTCGAGTAACCTTGAGGTAGGCCTGAAGGCATTCGACTGGACAGATAGCCGGATTTCCCTGGAATCTAGAGTAAACAAACACCTTCGAAGCCGACTTCGTTCTCCTGGATATGTTAAAGGAGATGCCCTCCGGGGTGAACGCAATGGCATTCCAGTCCAGTGCAGAACATCCGACACCCTCTTGCAAGAGATGAGGCATAGCAACATGACCACCTTCGCTGACAGCTGTTTCAGTGTGAGATCCTGATTTGGATACCAAGCCGACAAGAATTGGAGGACCACATTCACGTCCCAGAAGGCAGTGAATCTCGCACGGGGCGGTCTGGTGAGACGGATCCCCTTGAGCAGTCGGCATACAAAGGGGTGACTTCCTACGGGCGAACCATCCAAGCCTTGGTGTCCAGCTGATATAGCGGATCGGCATAGATTAATGGTGCGGTATGCCTTCCCAGATTCAAACATCTCAGTAAGGAATTCCATGATCACATGTAAAGGGGCAGATACGGGATCCACTGACCGTTCCACGCACCAACTAGACCATATTCTCCAGGCGGATCGGTACGCCACTCGAGTACCTGGTGCCCATGCACTGTCAAGGAGGTCGAGAGTTGATTGCAGAACCCCTGTGATGGACCAGGGTCCCCTGAAAGAGGCCATGCGATCAGGTGTAGGAGGCCGCGATCCACCAACTCGTGCGAGTTGCCATCCGGATCCCTCAGGAGATTCGGGAAGGTCGGTATCAGGCGTGGGTAATCCGCTGTCAGTTCCAGCAGCCGAGGGAACCAAGGCCGAGACCGCCATAGTGGTGTGATCAGTACCAACGAGCCGCCGTGTTGCGTCAGTTTCGACAGCGTGCAAGCTATCATATTGAATGGGGGAAAAGCGTAGAGCCGAGTCTTCGGCCAATCTTGAAGGAACACATCCGTTGCTACTGCCGCCGGATCCGGTCTCCAGCTGAAGTACTTGGGCACTTGCGCGTTGAGACGGGACGCGAAAAGGTCCACGTCGAATGGGCCCCAAATGTGGTCCAGACCTTGGAAGGCCGTAGCGTGCAAGCGCCAATCTCCAGAATATCTCAAATAGCGTGAGTTCCAATCGGCCATTGAGTTGTCCAGACCCGGAATATGTTCCGCCTGCACGGAAATGCTCTTGCGAAGGCAGAATTGCCAGAAGTCCTTTGCCATGAGAGCTAACATGCGCGATTTCGTGCCTCCCAGGTGATTGATGTATCGGACCGCTGACACATTGTCCATCTTGAGCATCACGCAACAATTCGCCCGTTCCGGCGTGAGGCTGCGAATAGCGAATGCACCTGCCAATGGCTCCAGACAGTTGATATGGAGTGTTCGCTCCTGATTCGACCATCTGCCTCCAGTAGATGCGGCACCACAACGCGCGCCCCAGCCGTGTAAGCTGGCATCTGACTCTATCACGATGTCCGGGACAGAACCGAATATGGCTCTCCCGTTCCAGGCGTCCATGTGGGCCAGCCACCAGGTCAGCTCGTCTCTGGACTCGTCGTCGAGTCTCACTCTCTGTTCATAAGAGTGTCCGGCATGTAGGTGAGAGCCTTTTAAGCGTTGAAGGGCCCAGTAATGGAGAGGGCCAGGGAAAATTGCTTGTATCGAGGCGGCCAAGAGGCCGATTACCCTCGCCAGATGTCGGATAGAGATGTCGTCTGCACGCAGTGTACTTCTGATCTCCTTCTTGATCGCCTTCATCTTGGACTCCGGAAGGAACAGGAATTGTTGGACGGAGTCCACTGTAAACCCCAGAAATTCTATCGATTGGGTGGGGTCTAATACCGACTTCTCCCAATTGATGAGAAAACCTAGGTTCTGGAGTAAGGACGTAGTCCACGATACATGAATCGTCAGTAATTCTCTTGATTGGGCCATCAGCAAGATGTCGTCCAAATAGATGATCAGACGTACTCCACGACTCCGGAGGAAGGATACCACCGGTTTCATGACCTTGGTGAAGCACCAGGGGGCCGAGGAGAGACCGAATGGCAGACAAGTAAACTTCCAGCGCTTTCCCTTCCAGGTGAAATGGAGGAAATCTCTGTGGGCCGAGGTTATAGGCACCGTAAAATAGGCGTCCTTGAGGTCTAGTTTGGCCAACCAGTTGGACTCCTGAAGGAGGTCTCGAAGGCAATGGATGCCCTCCATCTGGAAATGACGATACTGGAGAAAAGCATTGAGGGGGCGGAGGTTGATGACCGGACGCACACCCCCACCTTTCTTCGGGACTAGAAACAGGTTGCTTGTAAAGCCCTGTTGAGTAAACGGGACCTCTTGTATTGCACCTTTGGTGCGTAGTTCCACGATCTCCGAAGAGATCAATTCTTCTTGCTCTCGAGCTAGCGAGAGTTCCCTGGGGACAAAAGGTTGAACAGGAAAAGACACAAAATCTATATGGTAACCCATCACTGTTTGAAGAACCCAAGCATCTGCCGTCAGGGCCACCCACGCCTCGTAAAACTGGGCCAATCTGCCTGCCACCTGCTCTTGTGTATGATGGACAAAAGGGGTACTCACCATAAGGGCGTCTGCCTGACGAGGCACCTCTCGGGTAGCGGGAATTCCAGGTCCTCCCTCTGGATGGGAAGAACGGAGCCGGTCTGGGCTCTTGGAAGTTCCTGGTAGGGAAAAAGGAGCCTCGCTGGGCTCGATACGAACCCTGGAATCCACGGCCGGGTGGACGGCTCCTGTTGCGCCCGGCTCCTCCAAAAACTCTAGGGGAAAACACCCTCTTCATATTAGCCTGGGCCTTATCAATGGCTGTGAAGGTTTTAACATAAGACCCCAGGTCTCTTACGAAATTATCTCCAAAGAGCATCCCCTCAGCCGAGGGACCAGGTTCGGAGATGGCCATGGTAGCCAACTTAGGATCAATCTTAAGCAGGATTGCCTTCCTGCGCTCAGCGGAGACGGCCATGTTAGCATTGCCTAGCAGGCAAATGGCACGTTGCACCCAACCGATCGCCACATCAATATCAAGTTCCGCGTCACCCGCCTTGGCTGCTTCCAAAACTTCATAGGCCTTAGACAGAGGGCCAACGGTGTCCATAATCTTGTCCTGACAATGTCTCAGGGAAAAATCAAGGCCCTTCTTTTGCTTCCAGCCTGATTTGTTGAGGAACTGGGCAATCTGAGGATCGACCTCTGGCGTCTTACACGCCGATCCTGGGACCGAAGGTCTAGGACATTCAGCCCGTAGCTTACTGCGACTCTCCCTAGAGAGTGGCGTACGCATCCTAAGTGCGATATATCGGGCGATATGCTCAGGGGGCTCCCACTCAGCGGAACGAGGATGGCGCAAGTCATCCGGATCAAACAGGGGGTTACCCTGCGGATCCAGAATCCCTGCGTCGCCACTCGCCCCCTGGGCAGCAACACTCCCAGCAGGGAAAGCGCCCCCAGTACGGGGTGCTACGGCAGGGGGAGCTCCCTCCTCCGAGCCGGCTTCTTCATCAGAAGCATAGTCTAGTTCCTCATACTCCTCCTCCTCACTCCGGTCGCTCTCCGACCTTTCTTCACAGCATCTAGCCCGTTTCCATAACCTGGCCGTTTTTGCCCGACCAGTGGCTCTTTTGCGCGGTGGGAGCGCGCCATCTGTGACTGCCTCAGGCGAGTCCGTCAAGGCAGATAAAACCTGCGTCATGGAGTGGGAGGAGAGATGTTTGGCCTTCACCTTGGCCTTACGGGTGGGGTAGGGATAGGAGTAGGGTCCGTACCCAGTAGGGCAGGATTAGCCACATGGGGCAGCAAAAGAGACTGCACCAGAGTCTGGGAAAAGGAGGAGGACATAGCCCCCATAGCAGAGGCGAGCGCTCTCTGGAGAGAGGACGCCATGGTGGAGTCCATCAGAGCCTGGAACTCCTCAGAAGTGGCCTGACCCTCAGGCAGCTCCTGATGGAAGTCAGTAACGCGGCCCTCAGGACCATCACCCTTATCCTGCATGACTACAGTAAAAGGGTTAAACAGGAGAAGTAAAAATATGACAATCAGATCTGAAATCAAAATGAAAAATGGCATATAAGTATACAGGAAAAAATGACAGGGACAGAATTAGGGTTTAATAACCCAAAAGGGACAGGAACAGGACAGGGCTAAAGATAGCCACAAGAAAAACAGAAAAGAAACATAAGCACATTGGAAATCAAAAGAAAAACAAAGTAAATTAAATCAAATCAAACTGAAATAAATAAATATATATATATATATATATATATATATATAAATATATATATAGAATAACAAATCCTACCCCACAGTGGTGTAAAATAGCTGCACAGAACGTCCTCAGGGGATGAGAGGCAACCGGCAGGGGAGTGTGACCGACGGACGCAAGATATATATATAAATATATATATAGAATAACAAATCCTACCCCACAGTGGTGTAAAATAGCTGCACAGAACGTCCTCAGGGGATGAGAGGCAACCGGCAGGGGAGTGTGACCGACGGACGCAAGATGGGCACCGCACGAGGGAGGAGGGTAGCCGGGGGTGGGGGAGGGGGCGCACGCGTAACCACAGCGCGGCCCGACCTGCACACACACCCGGGAGCCGCCGCCTTGGTAAGCGGAGGCTTGCCGGTGTATAAACAGACAAATCCCCCGAGACAGGGGAAAGCCCCGCGGCTAGCCGCAGAACGCGGCCGGGATGGGAGGGGGCGGGAGGTGGCACTGCCTAACGCGACCGCGACGGCCCCCCCAGGAGAGCACACCACAGGGGTAGAAAAACGAATAAAAACTAAATAAAACACAGGCTCCTAATAAGATATATAATAACTAGGAGCAGACATATAAAATATAAAAAACGTAAACACAGTACAGGTAAAATACCAATAACAACCCAGAGCAGAAAAAGTTATGTACTTAACTGGTCTGAGAGCAGCAAAGAAAGAGGGGGATTGTGGGTGCTTCAAGTATTTTATAGTCACTTCCTCTGTTATGTGATTGGTTACTTGAACACTGTATTTTTTTGTTCTTTCAGTTATTTATTTATCTCTATTTCTTTGCTGCTGAGAGTAATAAAGAAAGAGATATGCATAATAGGAGCCTCCGTGTCTTTAATAAAATTAAGATTATAGGTACACTAGCTAGCTAAGCTAGCATAATCTACAATTTTATAACATGACAGGAGGCTTCATATTTGCTGTTTTAACGCTCAGCTAACAAATCCAACACTGTTTGTTTCGCTGGTACCTATTCCGGGAGATAATTAAAGCAATCACAAATGGACTTTCCAACTGCGAGAAGTGACAGTAGATGGATTGATGAAGATGCCAGCTGCTGATGTACCCAAAAATACGGGAAAACTCCATCCGCTGTTAGATCCACTGGGGTTGCGACCTGTTTCCTAGCAGACGTCCATGAACTGCAAAGCTGACCTATTAGCTCTTTTCCTGTAGGTGTAAAATACCTAAGGACATCAGTGGATTTAGGATCGCAAGAAATACTGCCACCAGGTCTTGACCTTTGGTGTGGAAGATGGTTTCTTTGATTGTGTCAGAATCACCAGGTGACATGGCCTTGTAGGTAAAATTCCAACCTCAGGTAATGCGTCTGAGCCTACCATCAATTCCATAACCTAATAGGGTCTCATCGTTCCCTCATGACCTACCCGGTGAGAGGTCTCATCCGAAAATGAATCTAGTATGCAGACAAGAGTGTTTCCAGTACTCCAAATGGACTGCGTAACCCGCAAGAGTCCCAACACTGAACTTGTGTAGCGAAACAGTGATCGACTACTCTGGGTAACTGAGAATGCTGGATACACCCAAAAAGAGGGAAATTAAACTAGAGGTTGAGATTTACATCCAAATATATCCTCATCAGGGGTGATAAGTGGACCGGATCCAAGAGTGATAGGGTCTTGCATTGACAAAGAAAGAGTCCTCACGCTCTGTATTCGCGTGGTGGACTGCAAAGGCTTCGAAAGCGGTTCGAAGTGTAGGTCGGCTGGTGAAAAATGTGAATCGGCCCTGGTGAGCGGGTCTGGAGCAGGACTTCCATCCGTGAGACAGTCAACTGATTAGGGAGAGTGAATAATCCGATTAATCGTCTTTACGACCCTGTTCCATGCCCGACCTGTCCAAGTTCGTGGAGGAACTCATGGACTGCACGCCACATAAAATAGGGTATAATATAGTGAGACCTTAGGTCCCTGTATCCCTGACTGTCCCGGCACGTATCTCCAAGAGTAGACCCTGGGCCAATGGACCCAGGAATGTAAATTCGAGAACCGAAGTCAAGGTATCCCTATAGAGGTTTACCTCTATTCTTAGCCTGATATAGCGAACAAACAAGGGCCTAGCTTCAACCGTCCGAAGCAGGGGCAGTCCAGTTTGAGGACGTCGGCAGTCATATCCGAGTCTGCTACAGATCCTGAGCATACTCCTGACTTTGTGACATCCGTGTAGGAGTCTGGGCACACAGGATTCCCCCACAGAGCCCAAGTAGGCCTCCTTGACAGTAGTTGAATAGGTGGGTTAGCGGAAATCCAAAACCAAGACGGTTCCTGTGAGGGATTAGTGTATAGAAGGAGGGTCCTCCATAACCGAATCACGTTCTCCAGATGCTCTCACAGGAGTAGAGGTAGTCCTGTCATTTATCCCAAGATTGTGAACGACCAGGGAACCCAAAGTCGACCGAAGATTCCGTTCTTTCCATGCGATCTATGCGTACGGTGTACTTTGAGCCTGGGCTGTAGGCCTTCCCCAGCATTTCATCCAGGGGTACATCCAATAGGGAGGCATAGGGTCACCAATGAAATGGGCCAATCCTGGGAGCTATACCCAAGATGGCCAGTTCAAATAGCCCCTACACTGTCCCATAACATCTCAGGGGGCGTGTTAAAATAAGATGGTGAATCTCCCCCAGTAATACCTCAGTGAGTATCTTTCGCACGGAATACAGTGGCACGGACCCAGTACATCCATTGTAGGAGGTGAAATAGAGAAATCCAGTCTAAGCATGTATACCCTGCACGATCAGGTAGCCCTCTATAATGAAATCAGTAGCACGGATGTTAGATTAAATGGAGAGGTTCTCTCTCCCCTTAGCCAGCCGTTATGAAGCATCATCTCCCTAGTCTACTGAAGCATTAGCGGTAAACCCGTATATTGAATTGAATGTAGGAGGGATGCCCCTCTATGCAGACAGCATGGTCCTGTACAAGTACAAGCCTGTGTGATGAACAAGGGGGAGGCACTGTACTGAGTTGAGTGTATGAGCCGCATTCTCTAATAATGTAATCAAACTCCGTGTCTGCATCAGGCTGACAGCAGGAGCGGGACGTATCCATTAATGACAACATTAGTGTCTACATCCGTGTCCGGCTCCTTCTATGAGCATGGGCCACACTCAGAACCTGTCTTCTGTATCCATCTCAGTATCGTACTGAGGTTGAGGGAGAACCGTGCCCTCTAATAATGAATCAGTGTCCGGTTCGGTGTATGAGAGGGGTTCGCTCTCTACTCGTGTAAATAAATATCAGTCCCGGTCAAGGTGATGGAGGGCTGCACCCTTTTGCAATCCAAACTAGAGTCCAAATCAGACTCAGGTTGATCAAATGCGGGGGTTCACCTTTTAGCTTAGCTCAGCTTAGAACTGAGATCCTGAGCAGGGTCCCCCTCTGACCACGCGACCTCTCTCTGAGTCACTCACCTGAGAGGTGGGATCAACTGGGAATAAACCAGACCAACGGTAGACGGATTAGTATACAACCTCGGGCCGCGCCCATCTTAATAACAGAAAGGGATGTTGAGAGAATGTAACCTCTGGAAAAGATGATGGAATCTACCAATGGACTGTCCAGATCCCACGCGCGTGCATGGGATCCAGGATGACCGTCGGTAGCCTAAGGAAAGCTGGAGACGTTCTCCGCAATCCACGAGAGCCTGGGAGGTCAGAGAAGGTCAAGTCAGGGCTCTCGATGTCCCAAGCGGGAGGCAACGGAAGATATGAAAGAAAGAAAAGGCGACAGAGCTAAGAAAAATTCAGATAGAGTTAAAATACGTATCTCTGAGAGATGGAAATATAACGCACAGGAAAGGCAAAGTATAGGGAAAACCCAGAAGAAATAGTCAAGAACTAGCGTCACCTAGATAGAAGCACCTAGACCTAAGAAGACCTAGGACTAGCAGGTAGTAGTAAAAAGCCAATGAAATCCTGTTTTCTGTCGATGGTGTCCGAGCACTGGATACTGTACATGTTACTTCGCGAACTCACCTATATGCCTTTGCCGGGTTGTTGAAACCATGGCTGTCCGCTCAGGGCATTTCGCAGGGCCTTCACCCTACCCATAACACTGACTTTACTTGTGTGCCCGGAGTCCCTCCATGCCTCTATATTGAGGTAGTAATGGGAGACTTGTGACATAGCTTTTTCAACAGAGGTGGCCTCAGCCGCAAATATCATAGTCTCTAGGTTCTCCCGGGTCTGGTGTCCATAGCGGATGGTATCTTAACTGTAGGGGTAGAGATGATCGGAGTCACCCCATGTAGTGTGGTAGCTCTACTACAGTGACACACACACACACCTCAGTGTCTATAGTGAGTAGGGGGGGCTCCCCCGTAATATTCCCCTGGGCATGCAGCCAGAGGGGGCTTGGGCCCAGGTAGAAACCTGCCTTTTGAAGGGGCACAGATCCAGTAGGCCAATCGAATGGACACAGACAGAGCAGACCAATCAAGAGGGCACAGACAGAGCAGGCCAATCAAGGGGGCACAGATAGGGCAGGCCAATCAAAGGGACACAGACAGAGCAGGCCAATCACGGTTGGTGTACTAAGTCAGTAGTAAGGGGCCCCTGTGTTAGGGCATAGTCCCATAATATCTGTAAATCCTTAGTACAACGTGTGACCCAAGACCCCAAGACACCAACCCTTTTAGACAGTGTAATACTGCATGTCTAAACCTTAACAGGAACTGGCAGTCCCTTAATGCCTAGCAGGCAAGAGGTTGTATTCCAGCTGTAGTGCATAAGCTGTTGTTGTTCCGTCGATAATAGCGTCCCCTTTAAATCTAGAGACACTGAGTGAATCATTCTTAAAATAGTGCAAGATAGTCATGTAGTGAGATTTAATCTTTATTTTACCTTCTTACACAAGAAGAGCAGTGCACAAATGGATGCCTGTGGTGACAACTCTAGGTATCTCCTCTGTTGGGCTTGAACAAAGGCAACTTAAAAAACCTATTAGTAACAGAACTAGAATCTGTCATAGGACCAGGAGCATAGGTAGTAATAAATAAATATATAGACCCTCTATCTAATGGTCAAACTGCCTCTGCGAATGATGTGCCGCAGAGCCTGATTCCCAGTGGGATGAGAGCCCAATCCGACCTCCATGGTGAGGCAGCCATGTGTAAGGACGGGACCGCCACTGGGTACTCGTGTCTGACCGTGAGTACCCCAGTTACCAAGGAACTCACACTGGAGCTTGGGGAATCAGAGGAGGTAGCCGAACAGCTAGCCTCCTGAAACCCAGAGCGAAGCACTCATAGCCCGGGGGTAGAAGGAAGATTATTTCCTTTCTGCAGTAACAGGTTAAAGTTTAATGTTTCCACCTGGCTGCAAATAAACAGACCAGCTTCAGCTGAATTGAATGTAGGAGGGATGCCCCTCTAATTCCCAAATTTACTAATACTAAGTAAAGATTTCTGACGGTAGTAAACTGTATCACCGTCAAGCATTCCCTTCTTCCCATAAAAGAAAATCACCAAGTAATCCACAGGAATAAATATCGATGGTATCACCAAATAATCCACACATGAGCCAAATCTTAATGCTGGAACAAGACTGATTTACTGAGCAACAGGTATTCAATTTATACAATACATAACTCCTCCTCTGGGCCAGGCTAGATAATTGAGTTTCAGCAACATACTAAACTCAATTATCTGCTGGCTATAAATACACATTTTTTTTTTACATTTTTAGAAAAGTACTTTCTGCATAACATACAAATATAACAATCATTAAAACTCCCGAATACCGGTTTGATACGTTGAATGGAAAGTAGTTAGTCGGGACTTCCATAATGACCGGCCGTTCGCGTGATTGCCATGCCGAAAACAGTTCCAGGCAATTCACGCTTAAGTCCTGCTGACCGCATTCGGGATCGTATGCCGAATGGCGGCCACCGTTATGTTTATAACGGACTTCTACGACCATCCCTGTAAGGATAGAGTCCATGCAGTAATCCAACTGTTTTAATCCAACTGATTAAAACACCTCTCCCAACACAGTAAGATAATTTCACCGGCCGGAGAAAGTTCTTCCACAGTTTGCTGACCATCCCCCGATTTTGCTTACCCGATAAGGACTCATTTGCTGGAATACTACACTTCATTTTTGTGAGTGTGTTCTGATTTCAATTTTATTTTCAATAAATGTGAAGTTTTTTTTAAAAAGCACTTTGAGCTTTTTATCATCTAGAGATCGTATTACTATATACCTGTATTGGTGGTATATGAGTAACAATTAGTGTTTTGCTGCCATCCGAGATTCTACTGATATATACCAACATTGGTTAAATTATATTCACAACATGACACTTGACACTGTTACTGTTAATTTATTGAGCAGAAGCACACTGTGTGGGATTGGATATTGGTACTGTTGCACTAAAAGAACTTTGTCTATTAAAGACATTATTGGACAATATTTTACTTTTTCATTGTTCTGGATTTTATTGGACTATCAAGTTGTTTTGGATAATCTAGTTTTATACTTTCATTGCAGTCACTGTGGTAATACCTACCAATCCTAAGTCTTTTTCACACTTTTTATATTAAGAGTTTTCGCTGTTTAGTAGAAGATTCTCTCTATACCGATGATCTTTTGATGCAAGGCTGCCACCTAGTGAATTTATGTATATTGCAACCAGTGTTTTTTGTATTCTAAGTTTTTTTTTTGTATTTTACTATTCTATTAATTCATGCATTTATAAGTGGTTCCGATTTTATGTTTTAGAGTTTTTAAGTTCTATTTAGATTAACAATTTGTAGCATCCGGTAAGAGATCTCCTAGTAGGTGTAGGCTTTTTCACCTACTATAATTCATTTATTTCTCTTAGCTTTTATGGGGGCTTTCTTTTACTAATAGAGATCTTGTGCATGTCTGTTTTTATCCCTTTTCTATCCATTTGTTTCCACTCCTTAGGGTGAGTGTATTCTGCCCACCACCTACTATCTGATAACTATGCTAAGGAATGGAGAGAGATCGATAATTAGAAATAATCTGATGGATACCTGCAGCTGTTCAGGAAATCTCTTGCATAGGTCTGCACCTTAACCATGTCCATACTGTTTCTATTCTAATCAGGCTAGGGAAATCTATTTACAACAATATAAATGAAAAGGTAAAAAAAAAAAATAACGAAATTAAAATATAAGGGTAAAAATAGACCTCTGTGTGTTAATTGTCCAACAGATCTAATAGCATCAAATTGCAATTGACAAATATCACCAAGTGTCTCTACCCTATGAATCTAAGATCACACACACACACACACACACACACCAGAAGTCTAAACATAGACTATTAGCTTTTTAATTTTGTATAATTATATTTATTATTTCTATTTAGATTAAATTTATATCGTAATGTAAATGTTTTTAATCAATGTAATATATGGCTAAATGAGATTATATGTGTGTGTGTATATATATATATATATATATATATATATATATATATATATTATATGTATTACATTAATCACTACTCTTTTTCCTCTTTTCTTTTCAAAAGGTATATATTATTTCACATTACATCACAAGATGGATTGATAACCCAGCAGTATGTAGCAAACCCGGTTCTCTGCCCCTTCGGTTGCATGAACCCCCCCTTGTTCATTTCTCAAATAAATGTTTCCTCCCACCCTTTTATATTGGAAGATGCAGACCACCCCCTGGCTCATTAACTTCAAAGAAGTCAAATAAACTCAAGTGTTCTCTCTCGCTAGTTACCATTTGTATAACCAAACTCACATGTTCTGTTAAATGGCGGCCATCTTGTCTCCCGAACACAGACAGCAATACTTGGTCAACAAAGGCATGGAACCGTTTTCGGGAACCTCCACGATATGGTTCCCGTGGAAACTGTTCCACTGTTTGCCCCTCTCACAGACAAGCAAGGAGAGTGTTGTTGGGAGGAAATATACTACAGAACAGGTGGAGGTGAGGGTGGGGGTGGCAGGGGGGAAGCAATTGCTCCCTAAGAGCCAGGGGGAGCCTACACTTATTCTCATAGTGGAACTCCCAAAAGTTGACCAGCCAATACCCCTTTTTCTCCAGGAACTATTTTAGGCATCATTAAGCTGGGTTGCCAGTCCCAGCTTTACCTCAATGGCGTTTCCCCTAGACTGTCGAGATCTGAGCATTATTTGGTCTTAAGGAATGGGTTTTGAGGATCTTGATCTTCCAGAAATGCTACCATATGGCTTTGGCTGCTGGACTTCTTAGCGGAGTCGTGAGTGAAACTTATGATTGCTGTTACTTAGGGCTTAGGCTTTAGGAGAGTGTCTGGGGCAGATAAACACCAGTTATGGCTGCAGGCAGGCAGATATTGAGGTGAACAAAATAAATTAATGGGAGGGATAAGATAGATGAAAGTCACAAATGGAGAACATCAATTATCCAGACAATATGTGGAATAACTAGAAACACTAACAAAAATAAACACTAAACAAAGAGAGCACGAAATGTATAATAGTTTTCATATTAAACAGTAAAACGATAGGACAGGGGTGTAAAGAGGGGCTCGGTAGAGTTATCACAATACCAATGCATCATTTGTAAATTGACTGACACTGTCAGTTATTTATTGTGTCTGGGTGAGAAAGGCTATGCTTTAAAGTGAGACAGTGGCTGGTAAATAAAATTTGAATTACGATTTTAGAATGGTTCACCTTCACAATACAGGATGTTTTATTCCCATATTAATCCATAAATGAATTAGAACATCTAAGATATTTCTCTTACATTCAAAACAAGAGAAATGTTTGTCCCATGTTTTAGTTCTCGGGTGTGCATCAAGATTAAGTTTACTGATAAAACATTTTCCACTTTCTGAACATTAGAACATTTTCTCTTCTGTGTGAGTTTTCTGATGTGCAACAAGAAGTGATTTACAGACAAAGCATTTTCCACATTCAGAACATGAGAACGACTTCGCTCCTGTATGAGTGCTTTGATGTTTAAGAAGATGTGTGTGCCAACTAAAACATTTTCCACATTCAGAACATGAGAATGGCTTCTCTCCTCTGTGATATTTCTGATGTGCAGTAAGACCTGATTTACTGCTAAAACATTTTCCACATTCAGAACATGAAAATGGTTTCTTTTCTTTGTGAGTTCTCTGATGTCTAATATGATCTAGTTTAAAAAGAAAACATTTCCCACATTCCGTACATGAGTAAGGTTTTTCACCTGTGTAAGTCCTTTGGTGTATAATAAGATCTTTCTGAATGCAAAAACTTTTCCCACATTTGAAACAAGAGAAAGGTTTATCTCCTTTTTGAGTTTTCTGATGTGAAAATAGACTTGCTCTACTGCCAAAACATTTTCCACATTCAGAACATGAGAAAGGTTTCTCGCCTGTGTGAGTTCTCTCATGTGTCTCAAGAGACAGTTTAGTGGTGAAACATTTCCCACATTCAGAACATGAGAAAGGTTTCTCTCCTGTGTGAATTCTCTGGTGTGTAACAAGATTTGAGAACTGGCTAAAACATTTCCCACATTCAGAACATGAGAAAGGTTTCTCGCCTGTGTGAATTCTCAGATGTGTAACAAGACATGTTTTGCTGGCAAAACATTTCCCACATTCAGAACATGAGAAAGGTTTCTCGCCTGTGTGAATTCTCAGATGTTTAACAAGACATGGTTTGCTGGCAAAACATTTTCCACATTCAGAACATGGGAAACTGTTTGCTTTTCCGTTTACTATCTCTTTTGTAGTTTTATAGGATTCTGACAGATTTCTTGATTTGTCAGAGTTGGGATCATTGGTCCTTCTATTAAAAGATTTCTTCATATTCCTGCTTAGCGTATTTCTGTTCTTGTCACGTTCTTCAGAAGAACCTCGGCTGACGTGAACACCTGAAAAGAAATGTACTGAGAGTTAAAAAAATAAGATCTGTCTCTAAATGATTTGTTTACCAAATTTGAAACATTATATGAAACATCAGAATATGACTATTAAACCTCATGGTGATTGATCATCACCTAAAGATATATTGTGTGTTTTAATTCCCTTCATTACAAGAAATGTGTACACACATTTATTATTTGCTTTGCACAATGCATTTTAGTACATAAAGCCTAATCTACCTACATTCCCTCTTGCATGTAAACTCGTTGAGCAGGGCCCTCAACCCCTCTGTTCCTGTACAACCACTTGTCTGGTTACATTTTCATGTATCTTAGTCCACTCCTTGTAAAGCGCTGCAAAATTTGATGGCGCTATAAAAATATTAATTCATACTTCAGGAATGGTTCACGGCAGGGCCGGACTGGGAAAAAAATTTGGCCCGGGCATTTTTTCCAATCACAGCGGCCCCCTGACAAGGGGGTGGGGCCAGAGAGGGTGTATTTTGTCATGAGTAATGACAAGCACGGCCCCTCTCAAAGTGGGCATGTTAGTTCAATGCGTAGAGCCCCGCGAGGAGCTCAAGCATGGGAAAGAGGCCCTGTATTTGTGCTGCACAGCGCAAGCAAATTTAATAACATGCTTGCGCTGTGTTTGCTTTTAACTTGTCTCTGGTGTCTCCAGAAGTGGGATACCAGAGGACAAAAGGGCCAGGAAAGCATATGATGCATGTGTTTAGAGACTGCTTGTAGGATTGCATATGTGGAGAGTGAGCGGATTGTGGTGTGGTATTGTGTAAATAGGTTGATTTCATTCATGTTTGTGTTGTAATATGTGTGGCTAGGGGCTCTATAGAATATGTGTGTATAAGGGGCATAGTGTGTATAGGGGATGTAGTGAGTGTGTGCATACTGGCTATAGTGTGTATATAAGGGGATGTAGCGAGTGTGTGTGTATATATAAGTACGTAGTATGTGTAGGGGGTGTAGAGAGTGTGCGTTTAGAGAATGTTGTTTGCTTACAAGGAATGTAGTGTGTGCATGGGGGATCCAGAGTTTCTATGTCAGGAATGTAGTATGTATAGGTGGTGCAGTGTGTGTGTGTGTGTTGGAGATCTAGTGTGTAAAGGACCCACAGTGTGTGTGTGTTTGTGTGTAGAGGATTCGGAGTGTATATTTTAAGTTTGGAAGTATTGTATATGTTAGGGGCACTTATTATGTGTTGGGTGTATGCGTGAAGGGTGCAGCATGTGTGTGAGGAGTGCAGTGTGTGTATTCTTATCTGTCACATTCAATAATTCAAATTGTCTTTGTCTGTTAACTCACTAAGGGTTAATTTATACATAAAAAAAATTATAAATATATATATATACACACATACACATATATACACACACACACACACACACACACACGCGCTGTGTATGTGTGAGAGGGTGCTGTGTGGGGAGGGGGGTGCTAGGAGTGTCCGAGTGTACGTCGAGTGAATGTCTATTTCAATATGTCATTTTTATAAAAAAAAAAAAATATAGTAAAAAAAGTTATCCCTCCCCCCCCCCCTTCTTACCTTTAGTCTTGGAGGGGGGGGAGCCATGCTGCCATAGAGGGTGCCGTGCCGCCTTCCCTGGTGGTCTCAGTGGTGAGAGTGAACTCTAGCCTGCAGGGCTAGATTTCACACTTGCAAGATCTGAGCGTTGCCACGGTAACCACGGCAATTCGCAGTTCCTGCGAGAGGAACCTGGCGGAGCTGCTGGCTAGAGCTCCCCAGAGCCTCTCTCCTGCCTCCCTCCCTCCTCAGCCGGCGGCCACTTTTTACTGCCTTTTAACTGCCATGAAGGCACACAGAAGGGCCGGCGCTGTGATCTCCCCTGCCGGCCTTGGTCCACGGCCATCGCAGCCCACTGGGCATTTACCCGGTATGCCCGATGGCCAGTCCAGGACTGGTTCACGGGATCACAGCTTGTATAACGTATTCCACCATTTTAAAACCATTTGTAAACAGTACCGCCCCCTCCCCACACACAAAGTAAATGAAACATCAAAGATGATAATATTCCTACAGTCAGAAAGGAGAGACAAATAAATCAGGAGTCTGTCCTTAATTCACTAGCTCTCCCCTATCCCCGGGTTCACCTTGCCTTTACGTTCAGCCAGGCCTTTGCCTCAAAGAGTATACCAATCATTTGAAACTCTAAATTGGCTTGGTCCAGTGCGGCTGCCCGGTGAATCAAATGGCTGTTCCAAGTCTATCAAATTAACACCTAGCAGGATGCTTTTTGAAGGGGGATAGAGGAGAGAAAAGCCAACAATTGCTACCCAAAAGCCAATGG